CAGCCTCAGCTCCTCTCAGAAGGGAAGCTCATGGTCCATCACGCCGTCACTCGGTTCAACTCGAGCAAACAACACCGAAGGAAAGCTCGGAGACGCTCTACCTGTTGTGAAATGTCTTCTAATAAAACCGAGACAATTACACTATACCAGTTAAAAAAAAAAAAAAAAAAAAAAAATTTCATCATACCGTTCAAAAACTTTTGACTGGTAGTGTACATATCATTAATACACCGTTTTAGAGGAATAAATAATAAAAAAAGACAGCATTTGATTAGATCATTATGTTCAACTTCTCAGCGTTTGGTCATAAAAATAAAGCCACGACAATTAAATAAATTGAACCTGTAAAATACTGTTTTATGAATAAAAATATCTAAGAAGAATAACTGATTTAATGCTGGTTGATTATTATTACTTGTTTTATTGCTGGTGTGATGTTATTAATAAAAAAAATTTGATTTGAAATTGAATCAGATCTTTGTGTTTAACTTCTCAGCTTTTGTTCATAAAGCCACCAAACAACTTGGACAATTACAGAACCTGAACCTGTAAAACAGCTGTATTAGGAAGAAAAATGAATTAAAGAATAATATTATTTAAAAGAATTTGTCTTATTACTGGATGGCTGTTTAGGGAAGAACAAGAAAAAGAAAAACAACTGACTTAATGCTGGTTTGTTATTAAAAAAATAAAAATGAAAAGAAAGCAAGCAAGAAAGGAAGGAAGAAAGAAACAATTACATATCATTAACTTGAACATGTAAACGCTCCGGTTACTGACGTAACCTCGGTTCCCTGAGATAAGGGAACAAGCGTTGTGAATGGGGGTAAACTCTGTTTACTGTTTACTCTGTTACTGAAGCCTGATTTGTTCACGTTTGTGTAGCTGCACAAACCAATGGTGCTTTAGCCAGCCGGAAAGGGCAGAGCTGACGTGTATAGAAGTTGGCTTGCAGCACCATTTCATCAGAATCATTCGACTGAAGCGACAGTCATCGATTCGTGTGCAGCTTATAGCACGGCAAGTGACACAACGCTCGTTCCCTTATCTCAGGGAACCGAGGTTACATCAGTAACCGGAGCGTTCCCTTTCAAATGTTCACGTCACATTGTGTATGGGGAACGAATCCAATCACGCCGTGAGATGAGCAGAAGCAGACTAAGCCGCTCTGCAAGCCCAGTTCTGGAGCACTTATGTTAAGGGCCCCTAGAGAACATGAGCCAACTGAGTCCTGAGTGTAGCTGAGGACTTTGGACATAGCTATTTCCACCATAGGGAGAAATAAGCAGTTTAAGGCGATAAAATCCATGCCTGGGGAGCAGGGACATCTAGGCTGTAGAATCTGCCAAACGTGGACAGCATCGACCAGCCGGCGGCCGCACATATCTCACCAATAGAGATTCCGCTGGACCAAGCCCAGGAGGAGGCCATTCCTCTAGTGGAGTGGGCCCTCACACCTATTGGGCATTGCAAACATTCTGAGGCATAAGCCAAGGCTATAGAATCAATTATCCAGCGGGATAGTCTTTGCTTTGTAACCGGCAGCCCCTTAGAGCAACTGTCTGAACAGGCTGGATATATTCTCAGGGCCCTGACAGGGCAGAGAACATTGGGACCCTGCTCACCATCTGCAGCGGGGAGCGCCAGAAGGGTAATTACCTGGGCTCTGAACAGAATTGAGAGCACCTTCGGAACATATCCATGTCTAGGCTTGAGGACGACTTCACAGTCGCTGGGCCCAAACTCCAGACAGGAAGCAGTGATTGACAGTGCGTGTAAGTCACACACTCGCTTGACCGATGTTAGTGCCAGTAGTAGAGTGGTTTTCAGCGACAAAGGGCATAGTTCGGCTGAATGTAGTGGCTCGAAGGGAGGACCCCGTAGGGCCCTAAGGACTATTGACAAGTCCCAGATCGGTACGGTCTGAGAACGAGGAGGGTTTAATCTCCAGATGCCCTTCAAGAACTTAACGATCAGATCGTTTCTGCCGATCGAATGGCCAGCTTCGAGGGAATGATTCGCTGCGATAGCTGGCACGTAAACTTTGAGTGTGGAAGGGGCACGCCCGTTGTCCAACAACTCTTGTAGGAAGGATAGCACGTGGGACACATCACAAGATACCGGGTCCAGGCTTTGTGCAGTACACCAGTTACGAAAGACTGACCATTTAAGGACATAAAGGCGTCTTGTAGACGGTGCTCTAGCCTCTAAAATGGTATCACTCACTCTCGCTGGGATCTGCGTAAGCTCCCCGGGCGCCCTTCAAGAACTTAACGATCAGATCGTTTCTGCCGATCGAGTGGCCAGCTTCGAGGGAATGATTCGCGATAGCTGCCAGGCCGATCCGGCCTGACCGGCCGCTGCATATGCCCTGTTGGCCAGAGCCGAAGTGGTCCTGCAGGGCTTCGAGGGATGCGCTGCATAGGCCTTCAATCCCAGGGCGGATGGCGGACACAAGTGAGCAGCTACCGCCTCCTCCAAAGGTGGGAGCTTGCTATAGCCTTTTTCTCAGCACCGTCAACGGTGGTGAGAGCTGCAGAGGAGGAGGAGCTAACTCTGGCTGAATAGGGGGCGCATTACGTCTTGGTCAGTTCTTCGTGAACTGCAGGCAAGAACGGGGTGGGCTGCTGGTGGAAAGGCGGCTGACGGCGTCCTGGCAGGAACCACTAATCTAAAAGGCCATGGGCGGGCTCATCTGGAGCCAACCACTCGACACCCAGATCCTACACTGCCTTGGAGAGAACACGGATCAGCTCGCTGTCCGATTTTGGCCGCGATGGTTGGGATGAAGGGAGGGCTTCGGGCTCGTCGCTGAAGGAGAAGATTCTGATGAAATGGCGCTGCGAGCCAACTTATATACACGTTGGCTCCACCCTTTCCGGCGGGCTAAAGCACCATTGGTTTGTGCAGCTACACAAACGTTAACAAATCAGGCTTCAGTAACAGAGTAAACAGGAGTTTACCCCAATACACAACGTGAAGTGAACGTTCGAAAGGGAAACACTGTTTTAGGAAGATAAATAAAAAAAGAAAGAATAATCTGTCTTACTCTTATTGCTGGTTGGTTGTTGTCATTTAAAAATGGCACTAAAATAACATAACTTAATCAGATCATTGTGTTCAACTTCTCAGCTTTTGTTCATAAAAATAACGCCAGCAAACAATGATTTCCTTTCCAGCTGCTATGAAATCGAAGCATCATATCAGATCATGAGCTCATGCGTTTTTCTGAAACACACTCTAAACAAATACAATAAGACTTAATAAGTCAACATGAAACCACATTTGCAGCTCATTTTACTCCCATAATTTGATGTATTTCCAAGTTAAATGCATCAATAGGATTTACAATCATATTTAAATGCACATAACGTATTTTTTCTTGCATGAATACTTCCATTAAGACAGCGAGGTCATCAGAACAGACAATAAATGAAGCTGTTAATAAATCTGAATATAAGAGTGTTTAATGAGAAAAAAACCTAAATGTGAGGCAGTAATGTGAATGTGGAATTACTGAAAGAACATTAAAAACATTAACAGCACTATAAATGACATATATCAAGTCATATTCATCAATACAGGTTTGATATTAACGATGCTCTCTACAGGAACTCAGTGAATCAACTGTTAACATCTTTAGTAAAACTTGGGCCACTTTTTGACGGCCAAATCTGAACTGTGGCCCAAAAAGATGAAACAATGTGGCAATAGAATGCAAAGACAAACCAATCCTAAACTCCAAAGCACTTACCTCAGTAAATATTCATGAGCTCTGTATAGTAACAGAAACGTCCATGTGCATCTGCTGGAAACCACTAAAAAGATGCAACTGTTAACTGGAGTAAAGAAGAAAGTATTATTTCTGCTGCATGTGTCAGAAGAATCAAATGGATGAGCAGTTATTAAAACAAGCTCATTAATATGCAAATATGCACATGAACTCAGGAATTACAGATCAAATCATGATTACCCAGGGTTAATTCAGACAGAAACATGGAACAAGATAACAGAGGATTATGTGAACACATTTCATGTAAGCAAACTGCAACAACACACTTAAAGACATCATGAAAATAAAGGTTTGTGGGTCGCCACAATAAATATTTCCTTTAAAAATAGCCGTAAATGATAAAATGGGCATCAGGATTGGAAGTGCTATTAAATTGCAGAGAATGATTTTTGGAAGTTGTAAATATTATTGGAGTGCGTGTGGCTTCTTAAACAGAATAAGGCACGCAACATATTTCATAGTATTCTAAGCAGTGATAAAAGATGTCAATTAGCATTGCATTATACTTTATTACAATGAAACTTATTAATAATAATTATAATAATAAGAACTCAGATAAACCATATATGTGACCCTGAACCACAAAACCAGTCTTAAGTCGCTGGGGTATATTTGTAGCAATAGCCAACA